AGTCAAGAAAATCAAGTTAAAATTGGAGTCATATGAAGAGAAGATGACTTCGAAGAATCCATTAGTAGATTGCTGCTGGCATATCCTTCATTTAATTTGAAAAGGCGGAGGAAGAAATTCGTAAATTTGTCTCACCGGACATAGAAGGAGAATTATTGCCTTAAGCACATACACATACAGAGACGGGCGCACTCACATGCACCGAAGTTGACATATGACCTCAACTAACCAAATCACTTATACTTGATCAAGATGTAGAGTATATCTACCACTTTTTAGGGATTTGCCGGCGAGTTTTCTTGACTCGTTAGCTTGAATTTGGTTGTGACAATGATACGTTGCTCTGATGATGTCCGTCATATGACGGACGAAAGCTCAGCACTTTTTCACCGGAATCGGAGGATATTGCCTCGGAAACAGCGTCCGCATGAATCTTCCAGTAAAGCCAATCGACAGCTGGTCAAGAGGAATCCGCCGTCGTTTTCTGGTGGAACCGACCTTCGAGTCTATTTAACACCAGGAAGAGACATCGCCAAGAAGGGGATAATGAGGGACAAATAGAAGTCAAGAAAATCAAGTCAAATTGGAGTCATATGAAGAGAAGATGGGTTTCGAAGAATCCCTTAGCAGATTGCTGCTAGCATATCCTTCATTTCTTTTGAAAAGGCGGTGGAAGAAATTCGTAAATTGGTCTCACTGGACATAGAAGAAGGATTATTGCCTTGGTTTTAAGCTCAGAATTTTCCAAAAAATTCATGATTATTGCTAAAACGAAGCTAAAACAAGCCTCTTTATAACAAGATCATATGCTGTGACCACAGCCGCTCCTCTTCCTGCATAAACTTCACACATCTGTATGCACTTAGAGCAAGCATAAAATAGCCAACCAAGTCATGGAATGCTGCATTAAGATCGCAAAGTAAGTTATAAAAAGGAAGCAGAATTTCAGTACTTCTGTGTCTTTTGGTGGTTGTTCTTAAATAATAATTTATGCCTATGATGATGTCCGTTACATGACGGGTAAAAGCTCGGCACGGATTCATCGAAGTCACAGAGTGGTGAGCCGACGTCTTGTTCGCACAATCCAACAGGCACAAGTCCAAGTTAACTCTCCTTCAGTATCCGGTGCGGCCAATTTACGAATCCTTTTCACCCGCCTTTTCAGACAAAGTAAAATATATGCCAGCATAAAACTGGAATCATCATGAAACGTTACCTTTGTGGATCATCCACCTGTGGAATATGAAATTAATCATCCAAATTGTACACAATTTGCGACACTAGGCTAAAGATCTGGGTCCATTTCGAATTCATCAGGATGTGGAAACCGAACTGGGGAAGACATTACCAGTTGATCCCTAATGTACGTGTGCTAATGTGCATTTTCTTCATATGTGTGCGATTGATGTGAGCTGACTAGTAAGATGCCTTACTAGAGAGGTTACCGACCAATGTAGACACGCACAACTGACTAGAACTTTAGGATTAAGTAAGACTGTCAACTAAAGAGACAAGAGGAGTGTGCCTTACATGATCCCGAAGTGGAGAATATAATGAGGATTAAGATTAAAGTAACTGAGTCATGGATCTAAAGGCTGAGGAGAAGAAGACGCCTAGGGATGAGAATTGCCTGCCTTAAATCCTTGATTATGACGAAAAAGAGGAGCAGAATTGAAGGTTCATAGGCAGCCAGAGTTCAGGCATCCAAACAATGATTGTATGTGTAGCAGGGAGCAACTGACAAGTAGTGTGGAGGGGGGTTAAATGAAAATGAGTAGGCATCACCCAGAATCCTTGCGAACGGTATCTGAAACCGGTTGGGAAGGTGGTTATGCCTCACTTAATCCAAATAGGAGGAAATGCGAAAATAAAATGGTGTGAATAGGTAAACAGGAGATTTGAAGTGTGGTTTAAAGAAAGAGATACAGCGCTATAAACTAATAGAAAAATTAATAGGGGCACGGAGTTGTGTAACGGCAGTTGTAACTCTCACTAGCGATGTCAACTACAATGTCGACGAAATGTCAGGAAATGTTCCAGGTCAACGGTCCGATGCTGGAAATCATCATGAATACTTCTGCAGACGATGCAGGACTAGGTACGCTCCCCATGGTCTTCCTAACGCTCTGATCAGTGTGCGAAAACGAGATAAAACCAACACTCATCCCATTAACCATTGTATATGCTTTTTTCAGATTTATTCAGCTTTAAAGCAATGGGGAACACTGAGGGACAATTAGGTTCTTTATTGCTGATTTCATTTAGTAGATATATTGGTGCCAGAAAAGAGGCGTAAGGCAAAAAAGCAACAAATAAACGATTTTTTGTTTTCATAATTAGGATTTCGAGACAAAGATGTACTTGCCTGGCAATTGACTACATAATTTATTTTTCGAATATCTACTTAACTAGGAAAATTAATAAGGCAGTTGGTTGCTATAGCAAATACAACTTTTATTCGTCGGCAATTTGTTGACGTGTTGTTGTTAACGCTTCGAGTGTATACGCTGCAGTACCATGGTTCGAATCCAGTTGGGGGTGCTGATGAGACCTAGATGAGGTCGAAATTGCAGTCCACTCCAGCCTGGATGAGAATACCTTTTAAGAAATCAGGATCATGTGAAATTTAATGAAAGCATAAGGTATACTCATATTGTGGGAAAATCCAACTACCAGTCTCTTTATCACCTTAAACGAGATAGGATGAATACACCTAATAGATAAACGAATGTTTATCAGGTACATTTAGTAATTAGCTAATTATGAAGATATTAAGTTCTTTCTTGTTACTAAATTATTTTAAAAATAAAAAATAAAAGTTTTAGTGGTGAATCAGGGCTGTAGTCAAAGTAGTGAAAAATTACTTTTACACAATCAAAAACTCAATTATTCTGTGTTAAAGGAAGCTGACGCTTTGTGATATATTACCTTCATTTCTATAGCATCCTTTAAAAAATATACTTTTTTTGCAAAATTCCGACGGTGAAATGCTTTCGCATTTCTTTATGATTTGCTTGCCCATGATTAAAAGTTTTGTAATATATGTTTTGTGAAAAAATCGATTTAGTACCATGAGTAATCTAGTGAACACTCTGTGTCTGGCCTGTTATGAATGGACCGGATTTCATTAAAACTTCAAATCGCTTGAGTATGTCCGAAGCGCGAATTCAAATCCAGGAGTTTTATAAGGGACTCAAAATGCTCATGAAGTCATTTTTATTCCTGGCTGCAATTTGACCATTAGCACCTTGGATACCGAGCCCAAGCTGTTTAAATGTTGTCACTTTTCATGAAGTAGATGTGTAGGCGATAATCGTGGCCCTTAGGAGAGCTAATATAATTCCCAATTTTATTGTAAAGGGCCTATGATTATGCCTGTAACTGAGCCGAAAAAAGGAGTGGTGAACTCCTTTAAATTTGATCTGGCGAATGCTTTCGTCACTTATTTGTGTGTTTTTAGGAATGCTTCTTAAGCTTCAGGTCGTGCCTGTGAATTCTTATTATCATGTCTTTTATTTACTTTCTTATGCCTTAAAGTAAGTTAGCTTTATTAATATCTATCTATGCTCAGATTATAGCCGTCTCTCCTCCGTGGGACAGTCTACTCGAAAATCAGCAGGAAATCACAAAGCCAATATCCCGGGGTTCTCTTGGCTGCGAAAACGTGTCATGCACTAAGCATCTTGGTGGGAGTGGGACAACGTTCACCTCTACCGATGGTGGAACTGACGACACTTCAGGACGCTCAGACTCGGAAGCTAGCCTTGACGAGGATCATTCCGAGGCTGGAGACGAAATGGATAACAATCAACCAGCATTCATCAAAGGGACAGACACCGTAACCGAAGGATCGCTGGTATCAGGGACCACTGTTGGACATCAGCAGAGGCGCCGAAGAGCCAGAAGTCAGGAACGTACAGCCAAACAGAGCAGCCTTGTAACGATGTGAGTCAGAGTCTTGGGCTTCTCCAGTTTACCGCTAAAATAATTGAGTGCAGGGCGGCCTAATTGGCTTGTCCATGTCTATTTGTTGGCCAACAATGATGCTTATGCACAAGGACGACGCTGTCTGAAAAGATGCGATACCATTGCATGCCCGCCGCTTCATCTGAATGCAGTATGGCCAGAAGCATACTTCATTATAAGCTACACCAACTACGCAACAAGTAATAAACTTTCTGGTATCGCCGTCCGGGCGCATTACTCAACTACTGTGTGCTTGCATGTGGATGAGCACAGGGTCTATTTAGGTCGGAAGAAATTGGCCCCGATATTGGAAAGATATGTTATCTAAAAAGACTTTATCAAAAAGTGAAGGTATTGCCAGAAAAAGTGCTGAAACAACGTTTAGCTTCGAAGGGTAACTGGGTTTTGAAGAAACTTTTGAGATAATGTTGTTGTGGAGATATTCATTTCATATGAAAGTGCATGATTAAGCGGTCGTAGGTCGTTCTCACCAGAAGACGACAACTGATTCCCATTCTACTGCCGTCGTTTGGCTTTAATACTACATTCAGGTTGAATCAGTCCCTCAGACATCCTTCCTCGTATCGGGTGAAATATGATGGACATCATCAGAGCTGGAACTAATTCTTGTAAAAGTTTCATATTACTCAAGACTATTAGTCTCCAAATATTAACATAATATGAGATGTATTAACACAATTTGGTCTAAGGTGATGTAGGTGATGGTAGTCGAATTTTCCTACAATGATATGAGTAGAGCTGACGTTTCCATTGAATTTCACATACTCTTACTTTCCCAAAAGTTTTTCTCATCCAGGGTGGACTGTAGTTTCGACCTCGCATCGGT